AGAAGTATTTATCACTAATGAGGTTACGCGTACCGGAGGATCATAAGTTCTTGTAAATTTGACCTATGAAATTGGATTTAGCTGATTAATGTCATCTTTTTATACTTACCACACACAGATGAGGATATGTTTATTTTGTAAAAACGTTTGCAACGTTTTGAGAAAATCATCGTAAAGCTTAAAAAGTGTATATATTCGTGATCAATATCAAGTTTTGAATTGATTTAGTTATGTCTGTCCGTTCGTCTTTGAAAATTCTATTGGAAACATTAACATATCAGTCCCGCTCGTCATCCTTTGAATGATCCATCACGTGGTACACGTACTTATATGTCTTCAACGTTCCTTTAAAATTATCTTACACTAACTAACCTCTACTTAGCAGGAACAACAACAGGTCGAACTGAATTGACGGGCAATCAGGGAAAAGGCAATGTCTTGCCTGAACCGCCTTATTGTGGTGGCAATAATGAAGAAAGAACTTTGGAACCCACTTTACTCACGAATCCATATACTTGGATGGCATTGCTGAGTTACACAAATGGTAAGTAAAAGTGAATCAGAGAACAATTGTTTCAAGATTTTTCTCACCTTCATCGCTTTCTTTCTTTGATCAACGAATACAGAGAATGGTGACGACGAGTTCTTGTGCGGAGGTAATCTAATAAATCAACGTTACGTTTTAACAGTTGCTCATTGCGTTACTAATAATTTGGCGAACAAAAAACTGTAAGTCCATTGTATTTTTCTTCTAAAACCATGTTTTACATTATTTTTCTCTTACGTTCAGCTCTAAAATACGTTTAGGAGAATATAAGTTAGGTGAGGAGAAAGAGTGCAAGAATGGTGAATGCAATGAAAAACCTTTGGATTTAAATATCGAGACTATAATAGCACATCCAGACTATAATAGTAGAAGTGGTCACAATGATATCGCTTTAATTCGTTTAGCAGCTAATGTCAATTTCACGGATTCCATACAACCTATATGTCTGCCTTTACCGGAAACACGGGTGAATTTAACGGGAGGAGAAATTTTAACTGTCGCCGGTTGGGATCCCCCACGGGGGAATGCTAAAGTGAAGAGTCATGCGAAAGCAACTATCGTCGAGCATACAGATTGTGACAAAGAATTTCAGAGTCACCGTAAACCATTAATAACTTCACAGATTTGTGCTCTTGGTGAAGTTTCCAAAGACAGTTGTGGTGGCGATTCGGCTAATCCTTTAATGCGTAAAGTTTCTAAAGATCACTCGGATAATTGGTATTTAGAAGGCATGTCATCACTTGGCTATCGTTGCAGCAGCGAAAATTTTCCTGTAGTCTACACAAGGGTAGCTGACTATGTCGATTGGATACAACAAATCATAAAAGAGTAGACAAACACAACAGTCGTTCGGAAGTTGTCAAGCCTTTCCCTCTCACAAATTGTAGCGAATAGAGAAAGCAACGAATTGTATCAAACCTATTACAGTTAAGCTACATATGTTTTTCAAACAACTACAATATCAATAAATTGCCTATAAACTTATAAAAAAAAACCATTGAAACTGTTATAGTTTAGCAATAGCACGACTAATAAACACTCTACATCACTTCGATTGAAACAAATATTTTCAACTCTTCCTTATGTTAAATATAATAATTCACTATTGATTAGTCTTTCTTCTTATAAATGAAACAACCTGAGCCTTTCAGGCGGTGCAGTTTATTCTGACAATTCGTAACCATTTCTCTGTGACATTCGTAGAGGGCTACCATCTTTATTGTACATCATTCCAATGCTGCTAGCATATATACTTCAAGTGTTTTGTGGTTCAAATCTCCAAAAACCAAAACCTTGCTTCCATGTGAGAAGACTTTTTTTTTATATAACCATTTATCCGAAAGAAAGTTCAAAAACTCTTCCCATTCCATTCACATTTTCAGCATCGACTTCCTATGTCAAACTACTGTTCGGAAAATCTTTTCATGTAACAACTTTCTCATAATAAATCTTTGCGAGGAGAGTGGTCGTAAAAATGGTCCGATTCATATTATTTGCAATAATGTGGAGACCAAAGTCGTCCCCTATTTAGATTCTAAACTTGGTGCTAAGAAGAACTATGTGCTTCGTACGTGTAATAGGTTTGGAATGAGGTATTTTAAAGGAAGTATTAGAAGTTGTAAAGCTATCATACTAATAGACTGCTTCAAAGTATATACAAGTAAGGATGTTAAAGTCGGACAAATCTGACCATTGAATACCCTATACCATTTCTCATAATACAGTCATTCAATCATTTTCTTAAGAATACACCAAAAAATGTAGATTGTAGTATGTGCATGATTTCTATGACTTCAAGCCAGGTGTTGTCATCATAAAAGGATTTGCTATTAGGACAGTCCCTGTAGGTGGTGCGGTATAAAAACTGCACCTGTGTGAATTGAATTCCCTCTGGTTAATTAGCTAAGGGCAAATTTTCATCATAAAATATTAAAAATTCGACCATCTTGGCATACAAAGGCTTGTCGTTCAGTGTTATTTTCTGAATCGATCTAATCTTGTCTGTCCGTCTATTGGCCGTGGTTTCGTGTGTTCAACTTATATGCCGCAATATTCGGGAAACAATGTTAAAAGTCGGTACACTGACTTGCTTTGGCCCAAGGACGAATGCCATTAAAAATGGTTCAGATCGGTTCACATCTTCGACCACTGCCCATATGACGACTTTTTTAAAAATTTAACTCTCGAAAATTTCTCGAAAGAAGTCGTCGAGTACCGACTTTTCTACAGTCTAAATTGGTACGAAGAATTTATTTCTGCTATGGCAATCTTTTAACTTTCCAAACCCCCTTCTCCCTTACGAAGTTGAAGCGCGTGGGTCTATATGTTGGACCTCACGCCATATAAGATTTCACGTGGCTGGTAAACTCTTCAGAAAAAGGTACATTTTTTTATTAGTTTATAATTAAAATTGGCCGATAGTAGCAATTTAGCAGTAAAATTAATGGTAGGGATCACATAGGTCTATTTTTTAGATTCTAACATATGTAATCATGAAAGAAAACTGATTTTTTTGACGGAAACTGAAAAATACTAAAATGTTTAGGAACTAAATTAATTTCGTTCAATTTGGATCACGCCATATGCTATTTTAGGCATCGTCCAACATCCGGGATTACATAAAATTAATGCGTAATTTTTGTTAGATTTTTACAAAAACAAGTCAATAAGTGTACTGGGCGATGGGAGACAATGTATCCTAAGGTTGACTTTCCCCGATTGTAATGTTTTTACTTATCCTTCGAAACAATCAATGCTTGCTTGAGAGGAGGCAAGAGTTTGTCATGCCGATAATCTCTCGACTACATTTCAAAAATAAGGAACAGGAAGGAATTGCGCAGAGACTGTAATGTTTCCCTATGTTCCCAACCAGAAGTCAGAAATTTAGCTTTGCAACTTCTCTTATCAAAAATCATTTATTTATTTATGTTTGGCTGCTGTTGTCATCGGTTTAGGAAGTCGCACGCATAGACTTTACATTGGTATGCGTGCGGGTTACTCCATTTTCAACTCTTAAGCTTTAATAATAATCGGGCCAAATATATCTCTCCATCCACGAAATATATTTAGAGATCATGAAGTACATAGCAGGCTTTCCTGGAAGACAGCCAAGGCTATTACCTACTATAAATGGTATTTCATTGATTATTGCAATTAACGGTCCACCAAAATGATGCTGGAAATGAAAATTATTTAAACTTTTATAAGCTTCGACATATAAATGCTGTACTTGGCAGGCATCTCTTGGATTGTCTGGATTTACGGCACAGACAACATTGTATTCTCCTTTCTTACGTGAAAAAAATAAGCGATCTAGCGGTGAGTAATCTTCTTCACATTCATTTTTTTGATGAACTTTGAGAGTTACGTTTAGCAAATCTTCGGAAAAGCCAGCTAAAACAAACAAATGTTATTAAATATATTACTTGTTTTACTGCTAAGCTAAACCTCAACTAACCGAGAGAGGTGGGCAGATAACCTAAAGCAATTACATCAGTCTGATCTTCTATAGTGACACCTGTCCAAAAACAAGCTGGAACTCCGGATGTAGGGCTAGGCCTAGATATGAAGAGATGAGCGTTACGTTTCCGAAATTAAAATGTTGTCCTATTCGTATAAATGCACTTACGCTATAGGCTTGACCAGTTTAATTAATGCTATATCAGAACGACTTATCTTAAGAACAGCATAAGATGATTTATAATCAGGATGTTTGATGCATTCAGCAATTTCATAGTCTCGTGCGCTAATACGATCTGTATCGGCCGCTCGCACCAGAGAAGGTAAGCCCCTAAATTATGTGAAATAGCAACGATGTCTGTATTGCGTATAGGATCTGTTCGTAAGTCTAGTTTCTGACTCACTCGTTATCATCCAAGCAACTCGCGGTCGTAACAAGATATCGGGCCGAGACAAGAGTAGCAATACAGGCGTATCGAATTTTGTTATACGGATCGTTTTCCACTTTCCATCCTAATGTATACTGCAGGGAAAATATTACAATTATATCTGCATTGAACTTTATGGTGACCATTTTACGAGTTTTTGTACCCATTAGGAAATAAGATAGGTGTAAAAATCTATTTTCGTTGCAGGACACGCAGAATCGCATATCAGAAATGCTGAACGACATATGTAGAAGTATGTACATATATCTAAATGGTTGTACATTTGTTTGTCCCTCCCTTTATGGTTGCATTATTTGACGTCTCAATAATTTAAATTAGTGATCAAAAATCGGTCAAGGGTAAAAAAAAGGGGATATATCTATAAATAAATCCGTATCGTTGAGCGGAGACTTTGGCAAGAAATATCTGGATAACTAAAAAAATAATTTTGATTGACTACTTTAATTTCCGTTCTGTCATCTAAAAAGTAGGAACACTGAAAGACCCTGAAACTCTTCAACATAACCTCAAAAGTAGCAAGCGAAAGTGAGACGTTGTTATCAAAACGTCCTATAATGAGGTATCAACTCCAAGTTGACTTGTTTAAGGAACATGGCTCAAAATCCAAGGGAGCATTCCTAAGATCGTATGTACCTAGCACTCACACCAGTCTTCCTATTAACTACTTTCGTATCACTTGATGATTTTAGTGAACGGGCAGATGGACAACCACTTTGTAAAATTATTTCGCTTTCATTCGCGAAAATCAAGAGGATTTAGTACTACAAACCGCATATGGAAATTCTCTTGTTAAGCCTTTTTCGTCATCAGTTACCGCTTCTCCCGGTTTATGGTATTCATCGCACACTGCGTTATATTATAAATAAATGAAGTAATTTACTAATTGTTTTAGTAAAGTTCCGCATTCTACATACTTCGTTCGGTCAAACTTTTCTTGCTCATCGCGGGCAACCCGTCCACAGAACGTAATAATAAATTCGACCTTGCACAGCAAACCTGAGGGGTTCCATTTGGGTCGCGTCCGCATTTATCATCGTTTAAATGAGTAATATTTTCATTGCGTTGACAAAGGGTATGGGGAACACATAAACTAGGAAAGCGGCCCGTATCACAATCGCTCAGGATTCCAATGGCATCCGCATTAGACGATCGAATTAAGCCTTAAATTGTTTATTGAATTTTTTTTAAGTAACAAGAGTTTATTATTGTTTTAAATCTTGAATACCTTCGGTCAAAATTATAATAAATACAAATTTAATGGGAAATATTACAAAATGCATTACGCAACTTATTGATTGATGGTTGTGCACTAAAGGCGAGAATGGTTTTTCAACTAAAATATAATCAAACAGTGAAGCAGCGAGATGCAAATCGATTAGCATATCAGTTTTATACAATCATTTGTTTATATACAAAGTCAAAGCTCTTACTGTGTGCTGATAAACCTAGTGATGCGAACGTAGGGGGTAAAACCCGTCTCACATGGTCTTTCCCGCCTTTTTATTGTCACTGGCTTTAAATTAATTTGTTTTTTCAAGATTTTTCAATTTTTGCAAAGTATAAATTAAAAAAAAAAACATGTGATAGGGTTAAACTCGGTCGGGACCGAATCTATTGTACCCATCACCGTTATCCTAAAAAAGACAAAAGAAGTAAAAGAACAACAATTTCATGACACATAATATGGAGTAGGCGCAGCCGATTTCTGCTATATTCAAAATAAAAGTTTTTGTCGTAAAGGCATGCTGGCGTTGTAGGCGTGTCCTTTGAAAAGTTTAGGTGAATTCCAAATTTTTTTGCAAATTTATAGGCAATATCTCCATACACACGGATATACATACAAATGGACAGACATACACATGGACAGATGGACATGTTCAAATCGATTTACAATTCGATGTTGATCAAGAATATATATATTTTGTAGGGTCTCTGATGGTTTTGTCAGGTTGTTGCAAACGTTTTGAAAACATAAATAAACATATCATCCTTTGGTAATGGGTATAAAAAAAAACTGTAAATAATGTGTGACATAAAATTAATGCTTCTTCATTTTTTTTTTAATTAAATCTTTGCTTTTAATCAGTTACAGAGAATTAGTGTTACAGTGATTATCAGTTATTAAAAGCAATTTTAATAAAGCGTTTGCTAAGCATCACTTCAAATACTTTTAGTTGCTTTCTTACAGCTGTCTAGATAGATTGTAAAATTTATTAACCGCAAGTTGAAATAAAAATTTTAAATAAATTAGTTTCGCATTAGAGTATTAATTTAAAATAAATTAAAAAATATTTAATAATTGAGCCACCGGAAGACTCGTAAGGCAAACGAAAGTCTACATACATTTCGAGGGCATTAGGATGGATTCAATTAAAATCAAAACTTATTATTATTATTATTGCTATTAATTAAGCCAGAGGAAAAAATCTCTGGCTAAACTCAGTCTAAGCACTAGCATCTAAGGCTGTCGGCTTTA